ATGCCGGAGCAGCTCCGCGCCAGCGCGGCGATCATGGGTGCCGGGCTGGATAACGTGGCGCTCGTGACGGATGGAAGGTACAGCGGTGCGTCCCACGGCTTCATCATCGGCCACGTCTGCCCCGAGGCGGCGGTCGGCGGGCCGCTTGCGCTTGTGAAGAATGGAGATACGGTTACCATCAACGGTGAGACGAATCGCATCGACGCTGTTGATGTCGACGAGGCGGAGATGGAGAGGCGGAGGAAGGAGTGGAAGGCTCCCTTGCCGCATGTGAGGAGAGGTGCTTTGGGCAAGTATGCGAGGTTGGTGGGTGATGCCAGTCATGGAGCCGTCACGGACGCGGCGGATCCGTCGTGGTAGATACGTGTAGACATGTCTTGATATAGACTTGTAATTCAGTATAATTTGGCAACCACTTCTTCAGTGTTCGGTCAGTGGACAGTCCTTACCCGGACGTAGAAGTCCTAGGATACCGCCGCTAGCAACCCGGCTTTCTCATTGAGGGCACTGATAATGTTTGTTTTGTACCTGGTTATGCTAGACTAGCAAGAATCTCCTGAACCTGGCTTTATATCATTCTTCTTTCAATAAGTCGCCAGTAGCAAGTTTCAACTACGACCTTGAACCAACCTACCTGGAATCTCTAGTGTCTACAAACTTCTCTGTCACAAGGTAGGCATCACAGCATGGGGCCACTCATGTTTGGTAAATCACATGTATACCATTGGCACAGGAAAGGCTGGGGCTTTCCAGCATGCGCTTCTAACTTTGAAAGCTCTCCCGAGAACAGACGTCGATATTTCGTTGTTTATGCGTCTTATACAGCTTGGTATCCTTGCGCGCGCGCGGTGAAAGGGGCTTATCCAGCACCCTTGTTCTTCCTGCACTATGTCTCCCCTTCTCGCTCACCATCGAGCTTGCCACTTCTCCTGCTCTCCTCTACTTTCGACAACTTGAAAAAAGACTTGCGCAGCTCTGGGCATAACCTGAGCCAACCGTTTCTGTAGCTTTCCACCTCTCTATTTCATGCGTCGCGATTCCTTGTGGTGTTTGATGAAAAGGAAAAAAAAAAGAGAAAACGATTATGGACAGTGGCCGAAAGCTTTGAAACCCTTAACTCCCAAAGAACTCGAGCAAAGACCTGTAATGGCAATGCCATTACACCCATGCGTGCCAACATTAATGAGACACCTTTCTGTGAAGACAAAGAGTCTGACGTCTCCGCTTCGTCAATATACAATCCCTTTTTATGTCGTTTCCTCCGTGACTGGTGCCAGCGCTCGTATGCTGGCTATGGCTCGTGACATCGTATACGTATGCGATGCATTGTCGTTGCATTTACGGGCTGGCCCATCCACCGGCAACATCGACCCATTCAGCAAGGCACGATCCCTCCTTGCCCTCGACGTCGACAATGTCTGTGTCGCATCGGCATCTGCATCCGACACCGTTCTCCTTCTCAGCGTCCCAGTTTTCCCAGTACTTGTCTTCCTCGATACGCTTCTTTTCGTCAAGAGTTGTCGTCTCGAGGTAGGGCTGTCTAGGCAGCTGTCGGGCCGGCGCATTGGCGGGGCAGTGCTGGATAGTGGTGTGTCGGTATCCAAAGTCACGGAAGTAGTGGATGTCGCGAGGGGAGAGGAGGGCGCCGGCTGCCAAGGAGTGGATGGGGGCATCACCCCACTGTCCAGTGTTAGCTTAGTTTCTCATAGTTCTGCATCCTGCGGACTTACGCGTTCCATCCAGAAGCCTCCACTGCGGTCCATCATCTCGAAGAACTCTTCGTACTCCTTGCCGCGGAACCAGTCAAGGCTAGCAATTTCGAAATTGGACCAGAAATGACACATGTTGTACGACTCGCCTTCCATAGCCTCGGGATCGATATCGGGCAGGTTGTTGCGGTTGGGGTCGGCACGGAGAACTTCTTCGGGTAGGGGAGACTGGTCGGTGACCGGCTCTTCCTTCTTCTCGACGGGATCGACGAACATCTCCCACAAGCCCTTGGACTTGAGGCCTTTCAGGCGCTTGTAGGCGGAAGCGTATCTGAAGATGTTGGGGACAGTCTCGCGGAGTTCCTTGACAGCGATGGTGAAGCCGTAGGTCTTGTTGGCATCGATCATGGCCCAGAAAGGATCACTGTGTGATGGTTAGCGACTGAGTTGTTGATCGATTAAACTAACCAAACATACTAGGTAATGTCGCAGAAGTACTTGATCTCGGGCTCGAGACGCCAGTACCAGTTGTACTTGGCGAGGAGCTCGTGCTTGTAGAAGAAACTGTGCCGGCGTTAGCATAGAGATAAGAGAACGTTTGTGTCTCTGAACCGTACCCAGAGTAGAATCGGCACATGGCGTGGTAGCTCTCCAAGCCACCGTACATGACAGCGGCGTCACCCTGCTTCGCGATGCCTTCCTTGGCGACCTTGTGATCGATCCAGTCAGGGTAACCCCACATCTCAGGACCGACCTTGCCAAACTCAACGGGAGCGGAGGTGTAGTTGGTGACAACCTCCTTGAAGGTCTCATTGAAGTCGCCATCGTTCAGGAAGACGTAGGGGTAGTGGTACCAGCGGTTGAAGTGACGCTCAATGGACTTGATGGATTGAATGACGCCTTCCAACTCCTGGTTGCGGGCCAGAACGACGAATGCACCGTTAGCCTTGGGTCTGCTCGTATCGGGTTCGAGGCATCCAGTGACGAAGACCTTGTCGTGCTCTTCGCTGATTTTTCTGTGCACAATATCGTTAGGCTTGATCAATTGAGAATCAGATCAGGTGCATACCTGATAGCAGGGGGGGCGCCTGCGGGCATCAATATCCTTCCAGGCGAGCTCGGGTGTCTAACGAAGAGCACGAGGATGAGGATAACGACGATCAAGGGGAAGAGGATGACGACGCCGAGGGGCACCGAGATGCTCGAGTTACCGCGAAGTCGCAGCGGTCTTCTGAAGAAGGCAAGTCGCGAGGTCAATCTGTTCTGGCGAGCGGCCTTTGTGGCAGGCTTCTCGTCGGCGGTGGGCAGTTGCGGCGACGTCGAGGTCGCCTTTGCGGCTCGTCTAAAAAGATCCATGGCTACGGCTGCGGCGCACCGTGGCCGGCAGTTGTGTGAAGGAGGGAGGTTGTGTTTGGCGGTGTTGTGGTAGAGAGATGTCGGATGAGAGATGGGATGGCTCCAAGGGTGGCGTTGAAGGATGTGTCGTCAAAGATTAGTAGGGCTGGTTGGATAAGGGGTGTGTGGAAGGCGATTGCGGTGCGATGCGTCGATTAATGGACCTGATTCCCTTTTTTTCTTCCTTGGATGAACACGCGAACCGCGAACAAATGCAAAGCCGTGTGCTATCGAAGCAGCATACGCAGGCGGAGAAACGAAAAAGGCTGATTGACACGTGGTTTGCGTAGGCGATGCGAATTGCCAAGGGGTGCGGTACGTGAACGAGCGGCAGGGACGAGATTTCCCTCGAGCAAGGCGTCGGGTTTGTGGTGGTAGTGGAGTGCTGACCGAAGACGGGGGGTGAGAAGCTGAGACTGAACAGTTTTCAGGCTTCGCGTCGAAGGCGGAGGAAAGACACGGCACTCGCTGATGGAGAGGGTGTGATGTGGATGCCGTAGCGGAAGCGGAAGCGGAGAGCGCGGTTGCTTTGCTAGGCCTCGCTGTTGCAGTCAATGGGCGGAGTTGACGGTGAGACTACTACCCTCGTGGTATGTGGTAGATTGTGCTTGTGAGATTGAGCCCAAAGGTTCAAAAGAAGCAGAAGAAGGTTGGTTCTTCTCTCCCCAGGGTCACACACACACAAAGGGCCTGACGGGTTGAGCCGGTTTGGGATGTGATCAATTGCGTCGAGCAAAGGGTCTCGTCTCGGCAGGTGACATAGGTCAGTGGCGTTCGCGAAAAAAAAGAGGCGCGGGCGGGCGCTTGCGAACGCTATCGTGGGTTGTCGCCGTCGTCTTCGCTCGTCAGGTCGGAGGGGAGGGAGGGTGTTAAGTTGGAGAAAGGGAAAGGTCGTTCGGCGGGATGAAGGGGGTGGGTTCGTGAGTGGGAGAAGAAAGGGAGTTGGAATTCCGTCGGGAACAAGTACCTTAAGGAACCAACTTTTTTTTTCGGGGTGGTGGGAAGGGGGGGAAAAGCTGACAGATGTCACCCGTGGATGGCTACGGATGAGGAGAGGTGGGAGAGTCACGGACGGGATACCTACCTAAGGAGGTTGGCATTTTTTCATGGCGATAGGGGAGCCGGGGGACGGAAGGGGACACCGTAGGCGCCTTCCAAGTTCCAAGTCCCATCTTCCATTTTACACCTCAATGTGACGGCAGGCACCATGCTCACGGCACCTGCCACCACGACCACGCAATCCAGTAGCGAGATAGGGACGCCGTCTCCTGTCATGCACCTTACCGGGTTCCTCATAGCCTCAATCAGAGTCGCGGTCCCCTAATTACAACAATGCCATCTTTCTTCACAGTTCACTCCCATGGCTGCTCACCTTACGCAGTATGCTGGGCTGCCCGTGGTCTAGGACTTGGAAAGTTGACGGGGATGCCAGAGACCAGACCGGACTGGACTGAATCTGGATGAGAACTGCAACGACTGCAACTCGACACAGCCAACCAGAGCACGGAAAGGGAGGGCAGAGTGGGGTAGAGGGGGGCTCAAGGTGGATGCGAGCAGCTCAGGGAACCTCGCGTCATTGGATAGATCGTCCCGCCAAGAACCGCGGAAAGGAGAAAGTGGACCCCCTCCTTTTCGTCTGGATATCTATCGGTACTCTGGGGTACGTACCAGCGTTATTCCATCGTGCAATCTGGACTCTTTCCGTTTTCATCCACTAATCACTCCTTCCATGATCAGCATCTATCTGCCCGTCCTGTCCACGTTAACAAAGTGCAAAAATACGAATACCTTAAAAACTTGCAATTCCGGTGTCCCAAGGGCTTAGGTAATAATCCTGCATCCTGTCAGCAGCGTTTGGCCCAGATGCTCAGACCTTTCCTTGACATGTTGCATTGGATGCTATTTCCTGTAATCTGGCAATCTGGCAGCTGCTGCCCTGGAGCTTGTCAGCTCCTGTCGCCTGCGCCACACTTCCCACCTCCCGTTTGCCCAATCGCCAAGCAGACAAATCGCACATACCAACTTCCAACTTCCATCCTGTCACGAACGGACAAGCGTGTGGTCCCCAAGGACAAGCCCCCAACCCGATCCTGTTCCGATGGTGGCATTTCGCACCCAATGGCAGCCAGTCTGTACTTCTAACGCCTCTTGTCGTTATCGACTGCCCACGAGTGGCACCAGCCGCACTACCTTACTCATGAGGTTGTATTTAAAAACCTACACAGTAAGCGCAAGCCGGAAATAATACAGATACAGCTTGGCTAGCTCCGTTGATCATTGATGAGATTGATGAAGGCCATCTATCGGTGTGGATCACCAGATAACCATGACTTCAACTCTAATCGTCCTGTGGGTTGCTCACCTGTTGTGCATGACTGGTGCACGGCATCCATCTCACTCCACGGCTTTGCCGATTACTTACTTTGATGCCACTGAATATTGACATGAGGTGAAGAACTACCTACCGGTGGTACGCCCTGTCTCATTTTTGCCATATAATTACCTTATATCATCCTCCTACATTCTTCACGCCCTTATCGAGTTATCAAATGCTGAAATGGCTGAGACAACACAAATCTCCCATACTCTGACTGACGTATGAAAGAAATAGTAAACTCTAAGCCTATATGGACTGTTGAGCCTTATTTATATCTCGATCAACAGATTTGACAACGATTCCTTTCTCTGATTTAGAACACCCTTCCCCAAATTAGCATATGGAACTTCATAATGTCTCAACATCTCACCTCTCGCATGAGAAAGATGAACCGATGAATACCCCTTTCCTTACCAGTCTGATACTGGAGACTGCCCGGAGAAAGTTGATAGTACACTGCTGGGAAATGCCATCCCAAGGACCCGTACTTCATAAATGACTACCTGACACCAATCTCATTCTCCATCTGAGGTTCGTTCCTGGTCATTGAGGGCCCTCACTTCGCCTTGCTAAACATCTTCTTCTCCGTAGACCTCATCTTCACCATAATCCTCTTATACAACGGATCCTGCAAGGTCGCAGGCACCAGGTCCAAAAACGCCATCTGTACCGCGTGGCCCCAGTACGGAATCAGCACCGCTCTCCCGCACCCGACCCTGTCCAAGATGGCATTTGCAATAACTTCAACCGAAGGCCAAAATACCCGCGGCGTCATCAGCTCCGGCTTCGTCGCCACCGCCCCAATCCGCACGCCCATGACCTCGACATCGAATCCGTCCATCGACAGCTCCCTTGCCATGGACGTCGACATGGCGCCGAGATACGCCTTGCTCCCGCTATAAAAAGACAGCAGCGGTAACCCGTTATCCGATAGTGACCCGACATTGATAATCAACGCGGGTTCCGACGACGCAGTGAACCGCGGAATCAGTATAGCGTTGAGCAGCGTTGGAAACAGAGCATTCATGTGCACGTTGGCCGCAATCTCCTCCATCGACGACTCATCTAGCCTCCTCATGATCGGCTCCGCCGGTCCGCCGCCGACATTGTTGACAAGCACGCGCAGGTTCAAATTCTCCAGCGGCGCAAGCATAACATCCCACGGCTGCTGCCCGGCTCCGAGAACCCCGGCATCGCCAACCATGATGCGAAACTCCCTGTCCGGATTCGCGAGCGCGAGGTTGTGCCGCACCTCTTCCAGCTTGACGTCGTTGCGGCCGTGGAGGACGACGTTGAAGCCCCGCCGGGCCAGCTCGTTGGCAAGACCTTTGCCTATGCCGTCGCTTGCGCCGGTGACAAGGGCCCAGGCTGGTTTGCCGTGGACGGGGATGAGGTAGCGGTCGAGTTTGGATTTGCGGAGGAAGGGGAAGAAGGGCCATGCGAGGTTGTATGCCGCGCTGACGAGGGCGATGAGCCCGACTATTTGAAGGAAGCTGAGAGAGTCCATAGTAAGGTGATTAAAAGGTGGTACTGATCAGTTACTAGCTAGCTAGCAGAAAGCACGAATGTGAATGAAAAGAGCTCAAGCTGCCTCTATTACCCACCTTGTCCCGTTCCACGCTCAGCTACTTGTACGCTAGAAAGAAACGAAACACGCATGTGAATGGTCTGACCAGACGTCATCCAGTCCAAGAGGTTGTCGAATTGACTCTGGCCAACAGGGATGGTTCAACAACACCAAACGCCAGTCCTTTATGCTCCCCGCGTGGAATTTGGGCATCCGAGGGCGGCCAGCCACCAAAACCCGTTAATACGGATACGCTCTACCATGCCATCTCGGAGCCAACTCGTTCCCCGATGAGCAGCTAGACGAGCAGGATCTACCCGCAGCGTAGGCAAGATACCCTCAGCATGTCAGCAATGCAAGAGTTGGGCCGAACTCTGCTTCCCTTTCTTGGCCCTGTGCCTCTAGTAAGCCTATTTTCACAAATCAGAGCCTAGGCCGTTCGTTTCCGCTCAACATCGGACGGAGAATAGAGAGTGCGGAAATAAGGCCCAGCTGTTTGAGCTTGGGGGGTAGTAGTAGTATTGATACAATGTCTGTACATACAAATCGCCGGGAAGTAATGGTACATTTTCTCATCCTGTTTTTTGGGCTCTTCCTCCACACCAACCACCGCTCTCCCGTGTCTACCAAAGGGTGTTGTCGCGGGTAACCTTCTTAGTCTCCTTGCGCGACTCCTTGTCGGCGTGCTCGATGCGCTTTCTCGCAAGCGGCACCTTGAAGTACAAAGACGGCGACTCGCCCTCCTTGAGCAAGTGGCTCAAGTAACCGCGGTGGGCGGGGTCGCGGTAGTACTCAATATCCTCACGGCTCGTGGGGTCGGGCAATCTGTAGAGGAACGTCTTCTTGCGGGCCTCGGAGAGGATGCTCTCGACGTACTCCTTGCCGACGGGCAGGGGCTTATCCGTGTTCTGGGACTCGCCTCGGAGGAGGCGCTTGATGGACTGCTTGGTGTAGAACCTGGTGAGGATCTTGCCGCCGTTGCCCTCGACGGCGTCAATGGCGGAGGCGGAGGCGCGCGAGACCATGATGTCGATGGGCTGGCGGAGGTCGGTCTTGCCGCGGCCGAGGAGCTTGATGCCGTCCTTGACGCTGCCGATGAGGCCCGACTCGATGATTTCCTTGACGGTGATTTGCTTCGTAGGATCCAGGCGGCCGGCGTCGATCCATTGTTGAAGCTTGTCGAGGTTCAGTTTGGACATGACGGGAGCGCGCCTGCGTTTGAAAGTCAGTGACTGAAGATCGATTGTGTAGACAAGGCTCTGGACAAGCCATTGGCGAATGATGTTCATAAATGCACCTACTTGTTGTCGAAACCCTTCGTTCCCCTTTGCACGATCAACGGTGTCTGACCACCTTGGAACCACGGCTTGACGTGGCCATGCTGTCCCTGACCCTTGTGACCTCTTCCAGACGTCTTGCCCTTGCCGGCAGAGGGACCACGACCGAGTCTGATGCGCTTGTTGTAAGCTCCCTTGTTGTCGCTCAGGCTGGCGAGGATGGAAGCATTGCGGGTGCCGATAGACAGGCCAGCGAAGAGGGAGACGAGGCTCGTTGGGTTCGTGGAGGGGCGGAGGGCGCGGCTACAGCATGTCGCAGCATGCAGCGGCGATACTATCCGTGGCGGCATTGTGAGGGTGGATGTGGTGGCGGTCGTGGGCGTTGGGTGACGATGAACAGCGACACGGCCGAGATTCCAGGTCCGGTCCTCCAAAATTTCCAATGGAGCCTCACTCTCCCGGGAAGCTGCTGCAGGTGGCCCGGTCGCGGTTCGGCAGGTTCACGCGAAGAAGAGCCGACCAAGCCACACTCGATAAGAGTGGCTGAAGCTCATCAAGGTGTGGCTGGTGGATATCAGGTACGAAGCACCTTGCGTGCTCACCTAAGGCCCACTTGAAAGGCATGACTTGCGTTAGGCACCTGAAGCTTCCCTGGCAGCAGCCCAGTGCCCCTCTACGGAGAAGGTACCTTAAGGTACGGAGCACGTCGACCTGCGACAGGGACTGTTTGCTCCGCAACAGCGTGGTCTCCTGGTTCAGTCCTCTACTCCGTATCTGGTTGTCCCAGCCCCGTTCCTGGTTCAGGCACTGAGTGAGGCACAGACGGACAATTGGAACTTGGGCTCACCTCACTCAGCACTGTCAGTGTCGCCAGAAACAGCGTATCCTCGTTCAAGTTCCAGAGGAAGGAAGTACCTGACCAGGTCCCTTCCCTCGCAGCCCATGCCCGTCTCGACTTGTCTCAAGCTTCCAATCCTTGGCCCCAGCTCTGCCTCCAGGTTGGGTTGTGACTTTGGGAGTCCAAAAAAAAAAAAAGGCTCAAGCTTTTTGTCTTGATTAATCTTTTTCCTTTTCCAACTTCCAATCGTGAGATCGCTCTCTGTTTCTGTACAGTTTGTTGTGTACGTGTACGTACGCATCATCGTCAACTATCTCGGTGCTGCGTGTACATACATACTTAGGTATCTCTCCTAGGTTCCATACCTTGTCATTGTCGCGGCCTGTCGCATCATCCACCCACTGGACCCCCTGGTCTTCCTTTCATCATCGTCTTCTTCTTAGGCTCCTTGCGCTGTTGATGTTTGCAAGGTACGGATACTCGACTCGACTGGACGCAGCTCAGCTCTCCCACACCTCTGCTGGAACCGACCTCGAGCTCTCTCGGCTCGCTGTTACTGCGATACCTTGACGTTGGCGCCAGTACCTACGCGGCAAGCTTACTCCGTCCGGACCTTTGGTCACCACGACTCGCCCGTCGACCTCTCTGCTCTCGTACCTTATCTCGTCACACTGCAACCGCCCGTATTCTACAAAGTCCCCCGTTACGCATCAATTACGAGGCCTCTCTGCTCTGCGTCCTGCGTTGGATAGCGCACTCCTCCGACCAGTAGCTCTTCCAATCCATCCAAGGGACGTCAATCGGCCTCTAGAGTACAGATACCACCAGCCAAACGCCAGTACTACCTCGATAACCTTGGAATTCGTTACCACCCTTCTCTCGCACCCCTCCTAATCGCAATTGGCCGTCCAGTACATACATAATCGCCTACAATGTCCCTCTTCGGATCATCACCACCGGCGGATTCGCCCTCAAACACCTCTGCTGCGCCCTCGCGATCGCTGTTCGACGAAGGCTCCATGTCAAAGTCCGGCTCCAATTCGCTCTTCACCGACGACGATCTCGCCGGAGCCGAGAGCTCAC